ATAGGTACTCAGACAGATGGTCATCAATTAACATCTGAAAAGCCTGGCTTCCTCTAGAAGTGGCACCTGGGGGCTAAGAAGATTTTGTCACCTTCTGGGGAAATCAGTTGGAAGGAAATGGCTGTAGACAGATTGTCTCCCTGACATCGGGAGCTCTAAAATAATATATACACATCAAAGGAAATGTTTCATCTCTCATAACAGCTAAAATATTAGTTGCAGAGAGATGAAAATACTTCTCTCTGATGGGGCACTCTGTAGGCTACATCGACATATAAAAACCATATTTGTGGCTTAGGTAGAAGGCCAGGAAAATGCAGGAAATGGTTATGTGGCGCTGGAGTGCGACAGCCGAACAATGTTCTGTACTGTCGCGATCGGACTGATGCGCTGGTGTCGGAAATCCAATCTGCGACTTGGTGTTTCAAGCCGGTCTTGGTCTGATTGAACTTTGGCAGGTGAACACCCAGAACATCCTGTGGGCAGGTACAGGAACACCCCCCAGGGTCAATTGGCCGAGGACTAATGTCCCGCCTATGTCCATATATTGAGGACTTGGGCATTGGGACATTGTAATTCGTACGGAGCCAGTTCGATTTGACTGACAGATTGCTGACGCTTTGGCTTGCTCCAGTCGCAGACTAGATCTCGGTAAACGTTTTATTCTGTCTTTTATTTTATAGTGAATAGTCATTTGTGTGTCTTCTTGTATTTTCTTTTTTTATACTTTGTACATATTTTATGCACTGCCCACTTTCGGGATATTAAATCTTAAAATTAATTAGTGACTTCTGTGTATTTAAGCTCGGGCTCATTTCTTCAGAGAGACTCGATTGGAGAGATTAGATTGGAGAGATTAGATTGGATTGTATGTTAGTGCCTTTAAATGCTCGGTCAAGCTCATTGCCAATCTGTATGCAATTGCACTGCGTGTTGGCAGATTGCGTGCAGATTGTAAAGGTAACAGATCTGCCAGACAGAGATCTGTGTGTGTGTGAGGTGTCCCAGCAGACCGTTCTGCGAATAAACTGCTGGGTGGTGGCAGGCTACCTTTTGTGGTGTGGGGGTGTGTGGACAGTGGAAGAGTGACTAACACCGGGGTTCTAGCCTGTAGGATAACTGGAGGAACCCTAGAAGGGTGTGTGATTGCTAAGATGCTCCTCAACTCTAATTAGTGCACCAGATTGTATGTAAGATTTGTATCTGCCAGTGTGTGGTCGACAGCTGGATTGGAGTGGAGTCTCCCTTCGGTGGTGGCCAAGAGGTAGTGCGGGCTGTGAAAGTATATCACGGCTGGTCTTATATAGGGTTTTAGATATTAAAAGTTAAGTCCCTCTTACCCCAAATCACAGCCGCACGTGCACGCCTCGGTTAGCTAGTCACTGTGGGCGTGGCGTGTGGGGGAATCCGTGATACTCTATATAGATCTTTATATCACTAGAGGGGTCACCGGCAGGAGGAAGGAGGTCCTGATTCCTCTATATAGATATTTATATCACTAGAGGGGTCACCGGCAGGAGGAAGGAGGTCCCGATTCCTCTGTATAGATCTTTATATCACTAGAGGGGTCACCGGCAGGAGGAAGGAGGTCCTGATTCCTCTATATAGATATTTATATCACTAGAGGGGTCACCGGCAGGAGGAAGGAGGTCCTGATTCCTCTATATAGGTAGATCTTTATATCACTAGAGGGGTCACCGACGGGAGAAAGGAGGTCCTGATTCCTCTATATAGATATTTATATCACTAGAGGGGTCACCGGCAGGAGGAAGGAGGTCCCGATTCCTCTGTATAGATCTTTGTATCACTAGAGGGGTCACCGGCAGGAGGAAGGAGGTCCTGATTCCTCTATATAGATCTTTATATCACTAGAGGGGTCACCGGCAGGAGGAAGGAGGTCCCGATTCCTCCCTATAGATCTTTGTATCACTAGAGGGGTCACCAGCAGGAGGAAGGAGGTCCTGATTCCTCTATATAGATCTATAAATCACTAGAGGGGTCACCGGCAGAAGGAAGGAGGTCCCGATTCCTCTATATAGATCTTTGTATCACTAGAGGGGTCACCGGCAGGAGGAAGGAGGTCCTGATTCCTCTATATAGATCTTTATATCACTAGAGGGGTCACCGGCAGGAGGAAGGAGGTCCCGATTCCTCTGTATAGATCTTTGTATCACTAGAGGGGTCACCGGCAGGAGGAAGGAGGTCCTGATTCCTCTATATAGATCTTTATATCACTAGAGGGGTCACCGGCAGGAGGAAGGAGGTCCTGATTCCTCTATATAGATCTTTATATCACTAGAGGGGTCACCAGTGGGGGGAAGGAGGTCCTGATTCCTCTATACAGATCTTTATCATCGAGATCATCACAATAGTATAGCAATGAATAGCTATGAATGAAATACATTAATTTTGTACAACTGTCATGTGATCACTGTGATTGATCACAGCAATCATATGGTACTGGGTCTGGCCTGGTACAATGATCTGTCATCTGGTAGAGTCAGTGGGTGACATATCAAGATACAGTGAAGCCGCTAGACTTGGAGGACTTCATATTATGTCCTCCCAGGATGGGAAAGCTCCCGTTTTACTGCCATTCTGCTATAGGCCTGGTGGGAAGCAGTTAATTATAGGCTACATCTACCTGGATACCTGGGACACTGTGCAAGTTATATATGTAGTCTTGGTGATCCCTGTGGAAGTCCATGTGTTGACATTTCTACATATTTTTATTATTTTTATATAGCGCCAATACTTTGCACAGCACTTTCCAATCTAAAGGGAGACAGTACAGTTACAATACAAGAGGGTTAAGATGGCCCTGTTCATAAGAGCTTACAATCTAAAGGGTGGGGCAAGTGGTACAAAAGGTGGTAAGTCTGGGGGATGAGCTGATGGAAGAATTAAAAGTTCAGTTGTTAGTTGGAGGTGTGATAGACTTCCCTGAAGAGATGATTCTGCCTATGATAAATTACAGACTAAATCAACCTGGAGACCCAGAGACACTATGCAGGTTCTATATGTAGTCTCAGGGGTCCCTGTGGAAGTCCATGTGTGGACATTTTTTGCCTATGATAAATGACAGGCTAAACCCACCTGGAGACTTTCTCCACACCTGGAGTGTGCTGAGTTCTTGGAGAACGTCTACATAGTGTTTCCAGATTGGCTTTATCACCCCAACGAGCTCGCTCCAGTTCATGGATGTCATCATTATGTTTGGAGGATCTCACCAGTCAGGAGCCTTTCCTGTCATCCTACATGTTCCCTTCTGAGGATTGTTCTATCCTTCCAAACAAATGTATGAAATCATGGATGAGTCCTCCTTTTATGTGATCTAGAAGATCTTCAATCACAATGTCTTTATGGATGAAGTGGATGACCCAGTTTATATATAATTTATTGCTATATTTTCTATAGGTGACCGGGAAAAATAAAAACACTCAACTTTAAGAGAGCAAATTCCCCAAGGCTGAGAGCTGCTCTCCAAGACTTACACTGGGAGGGAATATTGGCATCGATGAACACAACACAGAAATGGGAGTTCTTCAAAAAGACTGTATGTGAACACACTGCAAATATATATTCCCATGGGCAACAAGTATAAAAGGCTAAAAATCCAACCTATGTGACTTACGGCCAAAGTTACAAAAGCGATAGATAATAAGAAAAGAGCTTTTATTAAATATAAAATGAAGGAACGCGATCATCGTTTACACATTACAAAGAATATTATTTACATGTTTTCCTCTGTACAATGCACATCCTCTGCCATTGAAGTGTTACATTTGTTGGATTGGGATTGTGGATCCATCAATATGAGTGAGTTCCGGGGTCAAGAATGGCTACATCTGATGTCTTCTTATCAGGCAAACTTTTCCCAGAAAGAACAAACTGGAACAGAAATGTATTTGCTGTTTTTGAGGTTGGGAAAGCTCTTGGAAAAAAAATCTGCTTTTTTTGGCATATTAAAACATTCGATAAGTATGCCCGAGAGAAAATCAACCCACTTGGGTGGAGGATCCAGATCTTTCCCAACATTGAAAAAATAAGGGAACGGGAGGAAAGCCTACAATCATGCTCACAGCAAATGATGTCCATATTGGCTCCGGAATATAATAAACAGATGTTATCATTGGAGAAGGATATTGGAGATGCAGAGAGATTGTTATCTGCATTCACAACACATTCATTGTATTCTGATTTGGAGAGGAAACTTAGGGAAGGCCTAGCAGATTTGTACAAACACATATCAACGAAAAAAGAATACATTTTGGGGAGATAAAACAGCGTTTTTGGAAAGGAAAGCATACAGGTGGACTACCCCTCAATACATGAACCTCCAGAGGAGGCACTATCACCACACTACACAGGACACCTGAGAACATGAACCTCCAGAGGAGGCGCTATCACCACACTACACAGGACACCTTAGAACATGAACCTCCAGAGGAGGCACTATCACCACACTACACAGGACACCTTAGAACATGAACCTCCAGAGGAGGCACTATCACCACACTACACAGGACACCTTAGAACATGAACCTCCAGAGGAGGCACTATCACCACACTACACAGGACACCTTAGAACATGAACCTCCAGAGGAGGCGCTATCACACTACACAGGACACCTTAGAAGTATCACATTTCAATAATACACCATTGGACTCTGACTCCTCCTCCTCTCTTTGAATGTATTATACTCCGAACAGGGGACAAGGTCACCTTAAAAGAAAGCGTAATAGAAAAGGTTCTTTTGAACAACAAAATAAAACCTGTTCTCTGGATACTCACCCCGTATCCTTACAGGAGAACACATGAGTGAGTCACGAAGTCCTATCACATGACCCTCTCTTGTAGAGGGTACAATAGCAGGTGAGTCTGAATCTTCTTTGTCAGGCTCATCCAGCACCGTAGTATAGATTTCTTCCTTTTGGCACACACCAGTCACATTCTACTGCTTTTTTTAGGTCCCAAAGGGGGAGATCGGGCCGGACGATAGAACATTACCTGACCCGAACTTCATCCATGTCTTTGAGGACCTCTGATCTCCTTATCAACTGTTTCTTCCATGATGAAGATCAGCCATGGAGTATATCTGAGGTGTATATCAGGGTGTGCTTTTTCCCCACGCGAGCTGGGATGTGCAGCAACATTTATCTAGAAGACATTTCCCGCACTCAAGGCACTAATACACCTCCAGGGTTGTGTGGGACCCCTGATGTACAGGAAGACAGGACTTCAGTGAGGAACATTTCCCTCACTCAGGACAGGAAAGTGATTTCTCCCTCGTGTGAGATCTCTGATGTCTGTGAAGACTGAACTTGTTTGAAAAACATTTCCCGCACTTGGAACAGGGATACAGCTGCTCCCCCGTGTGAGATTTTTGGTGTCTGTAAAGATGGGACTCCGTTGAAAAACATTTTCCGCACACAGGACAGGAATATGACTTCTCTCCCGTGTGAGATCTCTGATGTCTGTAAAGAACAGATGTCTGTGAAAAACATTTCCCGCATGCAAGACAGGAATATGGCTTCTTCCCCATGTGAGATTTCTGATGTCTATGAACACTGGACTTCTCTGAAAAACATTTCCCGCATTCAGGACAGGAATATGGCTTCTCCCCCATGTGAGATCTCTGATGTTTATAAAGACTGTACTTTACTGAAAAACATTTCCCACACTCCGGACAGGAATACGGCTTCGCCCCCGTGTGAGATCTCTGATGTTTGTAAAGATTGGACTTATCTGAAAAACATTTCCCACACTCAGGACAGGAATATGGCTTCTCAGCTGTGTGAGATCTTTTATGCACCTTAAGATTAGATGTAGAACAGAAACCCTTCCCGCACTCAGTACAGAAATATGGCTTCTCCCCCGTGTGAGACTTCTGATGTTTGTAAAGATTGGACTTCTCTGAAAAACATTTCTCACACTCAGGACAGGAATACGGCTTCTCTCCTGTGTGAGATCTTTTATGCATATTAAGACGGGATTCAAAACGGAAACACTTCCCGCACTCAGTACAGGAGAAGCTCTTCCCCACTGGAAGGCCGGCCGGGTCCCGCACAGTCTGAGGTTCCTCAGGATACGAGGAATCCGATGGTCCATCTACACTGGGTGGTGCCGGATGGCCATTGGAGGGAGCCGGGTTTTCTCCTGGACTATACTGTGTGATGTCCTCATCTTCTACTTTCCAGTCTGGAGACAAAGTGAGACAATCCTCGGAGGTTTTCCTCATCTCCCGGCCATGGACTAAAATACAAAGACAAAGAGGATTACTAGACAGGAGCTGATTGGTTCCCCCAAACCAGGACTCCACCCACATCAGGCAGCTTGGTCTCTGAGGAGCTTACAATTCCACCCTCAAGGGAACTAGGAAATGGCTCCTCTGATCTCCTACCAGGTCATTTCTTTATTCATGGACCTTAGTCAGAGAGTGAGGAAACAACCAGAACTGTCTTTTATAGGAGGGACAGTGATGAGGGGATTATAGGACGAGGGCCCCACCCCCTCTATCACTCATCGCCATCTTCCCAACACAAGAAGTACTGCACTTCCTTATTTAGTCCATGATTTAGTCATGAAGAACAGCGGGGCTGAGCCCCACCAGAGGTCAAAGAGTGAGGATGGGGGGGGGGAAAACAACCAAGATGAAGACTGGACTGATCCTGAAGACCACCATCATTGGGGTATTGACTCCTCCCTCATTATCACTTTCTGTTTAAGGGTCCAAAGTTGGAGGATGTTATCACATTATTATCACCATGTAAAAGTCTGTGCTCCAATCACATCATCCGATATAAAATGTCCAGCTGGGAGAAAATGGGTGTAAAAGAAGTAAGGCCGAGAATGTACAGGAGTATTATGTACAACATAGAAATAGTTAGGAATATATAGTATCAGGTGTCAGGAGATGTAATGTACAGCAGAGTACAAAGTGCAGGGGTCAAGAGTATGTAATGTACAACATAGAGTATATAGTGCAGGGGTCAGGAGTATGTAATGTACAACATAGAGTATATAGTGCAGGGGTCAGGAGTATGTAATGTACAACATATATATATAGTGCAGGGGTGTATGTAATGTACAACATAGAGTATATAGTGCAGGGTCAGGAGTATGTAATGTACAACACAGAGTATATAGTGCAGGGGTCAGGAGTATGTAATGTACAACATAGAGTATATAGTGCAGGGGTCAGGAGTATGTAATGTACAACATAGAGTATATAGTGCAGGGGTCAGGAGTATGTAATGTACAACATAGAGTATATAGTGCAGGGGTCAGGAGTATGTAATGTACAACACAGAGTATATAGTGCAGGGGTCAGGGTAATGTCAGGAGTATGTAATATGTACAATATAAATTATACAGTGTAAGGGTCAGGACTCATAATATTGGTATTCAGCAATCAGTGGTGGCCTAGATGTCCACATGAGACAAGTTGCAGAGGTCCCACACCGCTTCCCTCCCATCTCCTGAGACTGAATCCATTGTTTCTATGTGTTTATCAGATGATGGGGGATCTAGGTGGATCCTCCGTACTGCTCTCTCCTTTACAATAAAGTCTCCTCTTACCCGGTGATGTGAGGGGCGGCTGATTGTCCATCATGACGTCCTTGTAGAGATCCTTGTGTCCTTCTAAATACTCCCACTCCTCCATGGAGAAATAGACAGTGACACCCTGACACCTTATAGGAACCTGACACACACAATGATACAGTCACCATCCAGACACATCCCTTGTCTGTTACTGGAGAATGTCCCAGAATTCCCAGCACCGCTCACCTCTCCTGTCAGCAGCTCCATCATCTTCTCTGGTGACTTCTAGAATCTTCTGTGTCTTCTGTCTTGTAGGGATCAGGGATGGAGGTGGGGGGATGGTGATGGGATTCTGGATTCTCGAGGATCTTGTGGTCATACGATGAGGTCTCCTTCTTGTGTCATTGTCGGTAGATTTCTTCATGACTCCTGTACAGTTCTGTGTGATACAAAGAGGTCTTACCTGTCCATAATGGACAACAAGAGGAAGTACTTGGTATAGCAGAGTCCAATGTTTGGTGAAAGGATTGGTGCAAAGCTGAAGGTTTTGGTTCTGTTAGTCATGATGCCATCAGGTGGTCTGACATTGAGCTGTACAATAGAGATGGTCTGCATCCCTCACACAAGGGCGCTCAGCTCCTTACTATGGAATTTAGGAGGTTTTTGGACATGCATTTAAACTGAGAAATGGGGGCAGAGATGTCATTGTTGAGGATCATTTCTGTCCCCAGCAGGCTGAAACAAATGTGAGGTTGGTGTTGCTCAGGACGGGGCTGATGGGGTCACTTCAGTTACAGTTTCTGCTGGTAAACATAAAGCAGTAGATGGCAGTGCTTGTCATGTCATTGCACTAATGCTCCGAGTTTAGGCAACAAGCTTTGTGAGCTGACAGCTCTTATGTCTAGGGACCACTTGGACCTTCTTGTAATTACAGAGACGTGGTTCAAGGATTCAGATGACTGGGAAGTAACTATACCAGGGTATACACTATACAGGAAAGACAGAGTAGGGGGGGGGGAGGTGGAGTTGTCATATATGTCAGAAATAGCATAAGGAGAACATTAATTCAAACAAACAAATGAAATACTGGAAACCCTCTGGGTCTGCCTTCCAACCAGAGAGGGATCTTCCCTTAGAATTGGTGTCATATACAGACCCCCAGGACAGACTGAAGATTAGGAGGACTTCTTGATTGATGAGATAACTCAAATGGCAATGAAGGGGGAGGTTTTCATTATGGGTGACGTCACCACGCCTGACATTAACTGGAATTCTCAAACTGTTATTACAAGCAGCAGCAGAGATGTAATGTAATGGAAGCACTGAATGGGGCTTCTCTAAAACAGTAAAAATCCAACCCAAGGTGATCATATTCTAGACCTAGTACTGACAAATGGGGATCAACTGTCTAATGTTGAGGTGGGAAGAAAATTTGGGTTCTAGTGATCACCAATGTCTTTGGTTTGATATTAAAATAAGAACTGAAAAATCAAAAAAAACAAAAGATTTAGATTCCAAAAAGACAAATTTTGGTGAAATGGGCGAAATTTCTAAAAAAATGAGTTGAAAGGTTGGAGTAAAAGGACCGGAGTAAGTAATCAGTGGGCACTGTTAGAGTCTACCATCCTGGAGGCAACTAGATTATATATCAGGCAAGTTAGTAAGAATAAACAGAAGAGAAAACCAATATGGTTTCAAAGAAGAGAGTAAGGATAGTAAAGTAAAGAAAAGAAATCATCATATAGGAGATTCAAGGAAACAGGAGGTGGAGGTGACAGAGAAGAGTATAAAAATAGACAAAAGGAGGCCAAACACATTATCAGCGCTGCCAAAGCACAGAAAGAGGAGGAAATTGCTAAATCTATGAAGAAAGGAGATAAAACATTTTTTAGGTACATTAGTGATAGAAAAAATATGATGGGATCACTAAAATGAAAACTGGGCACAACACCTATGTTGGGGGAGACCTGGATGTAGCAAACCACTTAAACAATGACTTTTGTTCTTCTCAGAAATAAATTATACTAACAATAATAAGTTGGGAAATCATATTGGTTCCAGTAATGATGGATCATTTTTAGGATTTCCGGAGACAGAGGTAGAGGGAACTGGCTCAGTTAAAGATTAATAAAATCAATGGGCCCTGATGGATCATCCCAGAGATCTCAGAGAACTTCGAGGTCTAGTTGTTGGACCAGTAACTGATCTTTTTAATCAATCTCTTCTAACAGGAGAAGTTCCCCATGACTGGCGGACAGCTAATATTGTACCGATCCACAAGAAGGGCAGCAAGGTAGAAGCCGGCAATTACAGGCCAGTGAGTCTAACATCGGTGGTAGTCAAGTGTTAATGGAATCACTCCTGAAAGGAAGGATCATTGATCATCTAGAAACACACAACTTGCTGGATCCAAAGCAGCATGGCTTTACTGAGGGCAGACCAGGGTATCTGATTGGGTTTTTTTTTACTATATCACCAATGTTTTGGACCAGGGTGGTGCTGTGGACATAGAATATCTTGATTCCAGCAAGGCATGTGATACAGTTCCTCACATAATGATCTAATACAGAAGTTGGACAAGCTAGGACTTAGCCCTTGGGGGGTTCAGTGGATGTGCAGCTGGCTAAATGATAGATTGGTGCCAGAGTGTGGTTGTAAATGGGGTTCACTTCAGAGAGCAGTCACTAATTATCTGGAGCAGTCACTAGTGGTGTACCCCAGTCCCTGTTCTATGTAATCTATATGTAATTATAGAAACTAAAGGTAGTTGTTGGGTAAGGGGATGTCTCTGCTGATGACACCCCCTGGCCTCTTGTCCTGCTCATAGGGGGATTAAGAGGCCCTGGAGTGCTGTCTGTCTCTGGAACAGGTGGTGCCATTGCTGCTGGGCAACCATGAGGGGTCAAAGCTGGAAATTTTGTGGTTTCCCGGCTCTAACTAAGCTCCATGCATGGAGGAAAAAAGGAGCTACTGGCTGGAACGCTGTCCTCTGCCTGAGAGTATCAGCTTTGGGGTACAGTGTTTGGTCAACATCTACTGCTTAGAGGAAAAGGACTTGGGTATTACAAATTTTGGAGCAGATGATTGCAAAATGAGCAAACAGTGTGGCTGGATTACAAGTAATTCTAGATGCATCTCTCTAGAGGGGTCCCAAATTGGAGTGACTGTTGACTTCTGTTTTATATAAAGCTTTAAGTGTTTGCCGTCAGCCTTGTGTGTTCTGAAGGAGGTCCCTTGATCCTCTATATAGATCTTTATATGTTGTGGACTAGAGGGGTCACCGGCAGGAGGAAGGAGGTCCAGATTCCTCTATATAGATCTTTAATGATCACTATAAAAGGGTCACAGGACTTAGCCCTTGGGGGAAGGTTAGGTCCCGATTCCTCTATATAGATCTATATATCATCTACTAGAGGGGTCACCGGGAGTAAAGGGTCCCGATTCACTATATAGATCTTTAGATCACTAGAGGGGTCACCGGCAGGAGGAAGGAGGTCCCAAGGTCTTTATATGTCACTAGGAGGAAGGAGGTCCCGATTCCTCTATATAGATCTTTATATCACTAGAGGGGTCACCGGCAGGAGGAAGGAGGTCCCGATTCCTCTATATAGATCTTTATATCACTAGAGGGGTCACCGGCAGGAGGAAGGAGGTCCTGATTCCTCTATATAGAGATCTTTAATATATTAACTAGAGGGGTCACCGGCAGGAGGAAGGAGGTCCTGATTCCTCTATATAGATCTTTATATACTAGAGGGGTCACCGGCAGGAAAGGAGTTGTAGACTCTATATAGATCTTTATATCACTAGAGGGGTCACCGGCAGGAGGAAGGAGGTCCCTGATTCCTCTATATAGATCTTTATATCACTAGAGGGGTCACCGGCAGGAGGAACAGGAGGTCCTGATTCCTCTATATAGATCTTTATATCACTAGAGGGGTCACCAGCAGGAAGGAAGGAGGTCCCGATTCCTCTATATAGATCTTTATATCACTATAGGGGGTCACCGGCAGGAGGAAGGAGGTCCTGATTCCTCTATATAGATCTTTATATCACTAGAGGGGTCACCGGCAGGAGGAAGGAGGTCCTGATTCCTCTATATAGATCTTTATATCACTAGAGGGGTCACTCGCGGGAGGAGGAGGAGGTCCTGATTCCTCTATATAGATCTTTATATCACTAGAGGGGTCACCAGGTTTTAGGAAGGATTTGCTTGATGATTTCCTCTATATAGTCTTTATATCACTAGAGGGGTTCTACAGGAGGAAGGAGTTCCTATTCCTCTTATAGATCTTTATATCACTAGAGGGGTCACCGGGAGGAAGAGGTCCTGATTCCTCTATATAGATCTTTATATCACTTCACCGGCGTTTTATTTGGTCAGGTCCTGATTCTTATAGATCATATATCCTAGAGGGGTCACCGGCGGGAGGAGGAGGTCCTGATTCCTCTAAATAGAACTTTGGGTAAGGGGGTCTCTTTGCTGATGACACAAAGGTCCTGTAATCCCCTATATCCCTGGAGGTGTCTGTAACATGGAACAGGATGTTGGCATTGCTGGAAGATCCAGTTCAAAAAAGTGGAAATTTCAGTTCAATGTTTCTAAATGTAACATAATGCACCTAGGGAAAAAGAATCCCTTGAGAGTGAACACATGGGAAAGGTCAGTGTTGGGATCCAACATACAGAGGAAAAGGACTTTGGGGTAACTTATTTCAGATGATTGCAAAATGAGCAAACAGTGGGGAAAGCAGAATGAAATTCTAGAATGCATAACTAGAGGGGTTCACATAAGGAGGAGGAGGAGGGCCTCCTGATCCTCTATATAGATCTATATAGATCTTTATATGACTAGAACACGGGTCACCGGCAGGAACTGGAGGAGGTTCCAATTCCTCTATATAGATCTTTATATCTGCTAGAGGGGTTTGGACCGGAAGGAGGAGGAGGTCCTGATTCCTCTATATAGATCTTTATATCATAGAGGGGTCACCGGCGGGAGGAAGAAGGTCCTAGATTCCTCTATATAGATCTTTATATCAAAATAGAGGGGTCACCAAAACAGGAGGGAAGGAGGATCCCAATTCCTTTAATATCAATCTTTATATCACTAGAGGGGTCACCGCAGGAGGAAGGACTGGTCCTGATTCCCCTATATAGATCCATATCACTAGAGGGGTCACCGGCGGGAGGAAGGAGGTCCTGATTCCTCTATATAGATCTTTATATCACTAGTCAGGGGTCCCCGGCAGGAGGAAGGAGGTCCTGATTCCTCTATATAGATATTATATCACTAGAGGGTCTCCGGCCCGAGGTGAGGAGGTCCCGATCCTCTATATAGATAGATCTTATATCACTAGAGGGGTCATCAGTAAGAGGATGGAGGTCCCAATTCTTATATATAGATCTTTATATCACTGGAGGGGTCCCCAGCAGGAGGAAGGAGGTCCTGATTCCCCTATATACAGTAGATCTTTAGTTGAACCTCATGTAGAATACTGTGTCCAGTTCTGGAGACCTCACTTACATTAAGATATTGATAAGATAGAGGAGTCCAGTCCAGAGGGGGAACAAAAATGGTGATATCAGGAGATAGATTCAGGAGACATTTTACAACATGTCCAGTCTGGAGGATGAGAAGGGAAAGGGGAGACATGACTGAAACCTGGTTAAAGGCGTACAACAAGTCACATGTGGAATAAGGTTCAGGATATGCAGGATTTTTCTGTATGAAGATCTTGATTTTTCCTGAATTTACAGACATTTACCTCATAGACTGTCACTGGTTGAGGAAAGTTCACAACTAATCTCAGAAAGATTATTATTTTTTATTACTGAACGAGAGTAGTTGATGCTTGGAGTGAACTTCCAGGCAGAGGTAGTGAGCCAGTCAACAGAACGACTTGATAACACAGTGGGATGGAAAGTTTGGGCACCCCAGCTAAAAATTTGTATTGAATGTGCATAAAGAAGCCAAGGAAAGATGGAAAAATCTCCAAAAGGCATCAAAAAAAGATTAGAAATTCTTATAATATGTCAACAAAAGTTAGATTTATATTTCCATCATTTACACTTTCAAAATAACCTGAAATCAAACCAGCTCTCCTCTGCAAAACCTTTGGCTCCTCACCCATGCAGAATTTATATCATGTCCCTGAGGAAGTCATTTGATTTTATGTAACACGAAGAAAAGTGTGATGACATCATTTCCGGTCAGATGGGGTGGCCATCTTGTACACCTGTTTGTTATGTTATTACCAATGCTTGTATGGGAAGACTGCTGGCCTGATTTTCAAGTATTCTCATAGGTTTTTAAATTAAACATGAAGTCATCTATGAGATGTCCCCAAGGTTTTCAGCACATGGGTTTTCTGAAGCAGTTGGAGAGAAAACTGAAACTGAAAATAGTTGTACACTCAGAGGAGAGCTGGTTTGATTTCGGGGGTTGATATTAAAGCACATTTGACCTATATTTATAGATGTCAATGGGATGCACGCTGTGGTCGGAGGATGTAATTCCAAGAAATGGCAGTCATCAGGAACAGTGGAAGTTTATTTAAGCAATATCTGGAAGACCAAGACCAAGATCTGGTGTTGCCTAGTTGCACTCAGGACATTTGGTGTTGCCTAGCAGGACATCCATTGTTTTTGGATCTTTTCCTTCCCTTGTGTTTGGTGATTCTCTAGGTATGCACTTCTATCACCTTAGTTAGGGGCTCTGTCAGGTGTTTACTTTATGGTTAGCTTTAGTGAGTAGCGCAGCACTATTTATCTCTCCATTTATTTTGTAGTGTTGTGGGAACGCAGTTTGGTGTTTGCAGACACTCTTAGTTCATCATATTAGGTTTGGCAGCACAAGAGGATTTTTTTTCTTTATTTAACCCCTTCATTACACTCACCTCTCCAGTCAGCAGGCTGAGGATCTCCAGGGTGAGCTTCAATATCGTCTCATTCCGGGGAAATTCCTTCCTTACAATCTTCCTGAAAGTCTGCTGATTGTCCATCATGACGTCCTTGTAGAGATCCTTGTGTCCTTCTAAATACTCCCACTCCTCCATGGAGAAATAGACAGTGACACCCTGACACCTTATAGGAACCTGACACACACAATGATACAGTCACCATCCAGACACATCCCTTGTCTGTTACTGGAGAATGTCCCAGAATTCCCGGCACCGCTCACCTCTCCTGTCAGCAGCTCCATCATCTTCTTGGTGACTTCTAGAATCTTCTGCATGTTGTGTCTCTCAGGGTTTAGGGAGTCACATGGAGGCACTGTGATGGTCATATGATCACCTGACTTCAGAAGAGGAAATCTCTGTATTGAGGAACCAATAGAATATCATGTTCCCAGAATCCCCTCAGAATCCTCCTCACCTCCTCCTCACCTCTCCGGTCAGGTCTGTGTTTTATTAATAGAGATTTGTATGTGATTAATAATAGAGATGTGATGTCCCTCCCAGAATCCTCCTCACCTCTCCGGTCAGGTCTGTGTTTTATTAATAATAGAGATAAGAGTGATGTCATGTGACCTCCCAGAATCCTCCTCACCTCTCCGGTCAGGTCTGTGTTTTATTAATAGAGATAAGAGTGATGTCATGTGACCTCCCAGAATCCTCCTCACCTCTCCGGTCAGGTCTGTGTTTTATTAATAGAGATAAGAGTGATGTCATGTGACCTCCCAGAATCCTCCTCACCTCTCCGGTCAGCAGGTAGATGATCTCCAGGGTGAGGTTTAGTATCTTCTCAGTCATGTGACTCCGGTCCTCCTCCATCCTCATTGGTGCCATCATGTGATCTATACAGGTCTCCTTGTAGACGGATAACTTTGGGAAATGAAAGTAAGAATGATTTGGATGGTATTGGTCACACAATAATAGGATGTGGATGTGAGGGGGGAATAGGAGGGTTGCTGGACATTGAAGAACTACTCCCCCCATGGGAAGACATTTAATCTGAACTGTTTAGTATTTGCTACATCTTGGAGGTCCTGGGACTATCTTGACCTGCAGATCAGAAATCCCCTTTTCTCTGTTGGGTTTGTTTGGTCTCTGAACTGGTTTTGATGAGTTTTAGATCTGCAGACAAGGAATGATAAATACGATCCTTCCTATGACTTGTTTGCTCTGAGGCAGTGCTGTGAGAGTCAATGTCGGGTCATCATGATGTCCAGGAAGGGGAACTTGCTGACTTTTGGCCGGAGTTGCTGACTTTAATAGCCAGAACTCTGACTGCAAGGCTCCAATCTCTGGCAGCCTGCTGACTGACAGGAGTGATGTCACTGTCACTCTCTGCAATAAGAGAAGGGATTGGGATTGGATAGCAGGAGGATGCTACTGGTGTAGTAGAGAGCTGTGGGGGAGGAGTCTGTTCTCTTCCCTCCAATGACAGCCCATCGTGTGGGTAGGAGGAGAAACAACATAAGGGAGGGGTTAGTTTCTCTTCATTGCCAAGTATACTGTGATATCCAGGACATTGTACAGAGTGGTGGTGGGTTCCTGGGGCTCTGAATTCCAGCACCGGGCACTGCCAGAGCCTGTGTCATGGGAAGGTATTGGAGTGTCTCCTGAAGATGTTCAGCACTGACCCCTGACTACCTTTTAGTCAATAATGCACCAACAGACCTCCTCTAAGAACAAGTGCCCACCAAGGGGTGAAGACTGCCCTCCTTCATTCCACTTGGTATACTGGAAAATATATGACCAGTGAGATGGTAAGAAGGTGAAGGTTGTCTTCCTTTCCTGGTAGGAGTTCTGTAAGGAGGTCTGGAAAGTAAATACAGGTGGGAGAGCAATCACCACCAAGAGCCCCCCTCCCTACCTCAGAGTCTCCCTGAGCCTGACAACCTTTTCTTCCCTCAGAGCCCTGCTCTCCGCCATAACTGTCCAAGACCCAGATTCCTTCAGCTACTCTACCCCCTCAAAGCCCTTGAGCTCCACTGCCCCTTTAGGGGCCCCAAAGTCCCTCATCCTCAGTATCCCCTGAGAGACCCCTCAGCTCCTCTACTTCCCTCAGACCCCCAGTATTTTCCTCCAACCCTCTGACACCAATGATGGAACATATTCTTCATGGCCGGCTGGGATTTTTTCCTCCTCCTGAGCAGCAATGTAAGGGGCTCTATGCTCCATACTCCTGACCCCCCCGGCACTCCATCATTGTGTTGGCTGCATAGTGTAATGATTGCCCATTGGCTGCCTGTGTAGTGTCATCATTGCCCTTTGTAGGCCATGTATGGTCAGGATGGTCCTTGTCTTGTCTATTTATTGTCAGTGCTGTTTGTTTAGAGGACCATATTACTAGAATTTATCTCCACAATGAGGAGAATGTTCCGGCCCCGGAAGTGGGGGAATGTTGTGCCCCTGAAGGGGTTCATCTGGGTTCCCACACTATATATGTGTGTATCATCATCTGCTGGAGATAAAAGACGTCACAGTGACTACTATGGAGGAAGAGGACGGACGTGACTATGGAGGAAGAGGACGGACGTGACTATGGAGGAAGAGGACGGACTATGGAGGAAGAGACTGACTGGAGGAAGAGGACGGACGTGACTAGGAGGAAGAGGATGGACATGACAGGGGGTTACTGGGTGTAAATAGGAAATAACATCTTATTACCTCCTCTGCTGCCACTTCCAGCAAATGTCTCCTCTTCTTCTCCTCCCAACTCACCTCTCGGAACTGTCCTGTCCTTTGTCTGTACATCACTTCCTGTCTGTACCTGACATCACTTCCTGTCTGTATTCCATAGAGACTTCCTGTCTGGGGAGAAATGAGATCACCATCTTGTGGAGTTCAGAGGAACTGCAGCCCCAAAAACATCCCATAATAACCATTCCTGCATTGTATCTACCTTACAGAGATACCAGGGAAGTTCAAAAAGAACTAAAAAAAGTAAGAAAAAATAAACCTAACTCTTATGCAACCAACTGTTTAAAAAGATATTTTACTACAGATAGAAAAGTCTTAAAGACACAGAACACAAGATAAAAACAAAAAAACCTAATAAAACAGAAACCTCCAAAACAGATCTTTTTGTTGGGAAAATGCAAAAATATCCTAAAGTATAAAATATATATCAATCCACTCATAATGAAGATGTTAGACATAAATGACAAGGATGTAATGGTCACAGAGGAATGGTGGTGGAGATCTCTCAAAGTAAGAACACTTCCTTGAATGGTTCTATAAATAAAGAATGAATCCTGGAGGGAATAAAGCTGTAAAGCAATAAATAATATATAAACTGGGCCATCCACTTCATCCATAAAGACATTGTGATTGAAGATCTTCTAGATCACATAGAAGGAGGACTCATCCATGATTTCATACATTTGTTTGGAAGGATAGAACAATCCTCAGAAGGGAACATGTAGGATGACAGGAAAGGCTCCTGACTGGTGAGATCCTCCAAACATAATGATGACATCCATGAACTGGAGCGAGCTCGTTGGGGTGATAAAGCCAATCTGGAAACACTGTGTAGACGTTCTCCAAGAACTCAGCACACTCCAGGTGTGGAGAAAGTCTCCAGGTGGGTTTAGCCTGTCATTTATCATGTCCACACATGGACTTCCACAGGGACCCCCGAGACTACACATAGAACCTGTACAGTGTCCCCAGGTCTCCAATACATGCGTTGAATCAGCTCCAAAGTTTTACATACTCCAAAGTGGCTCGCCAATGGGTGGTCATGGCAGTAGCCCAAGACCAGGGTTCGAGCTTCTTGAGGAACCACGATCTGTTCCCCCTTCCATAAAAGCCCTTCTCTGCTCTGTACCGAGACTCCAGGTGGATTGGGGGCTCCCATTGATGCAGCTTGTAATTTCTGCAAAAGTAAGAAATTACCTGCCGGCAGAATTGTATCGGGTTTAGGAGTTTCTTTAGGATCCTCAAACATCCGCGACAGCGCATCAGGTTTCATGTTTTTAGATCCAGGTTGGTAGGTTATATGGAAGACGAATCTTGAGAAGAACAATGCCCATCTGGCCTGCCATGGTCTAAGGCGCTTAGCCATCCTCAGGTACTCTAAATTTTTGTGGTCTGTGTAGACCAAATGGGTGCAGGGCCCCTTCCATCAAGTATCTCCACTCTTCCAGTGCGGTCTTAATTGCCAGAAGTTCCCGGTCCCCAATGTCCTAGTTCTTCTCCGCCGGAGTGAGCTTCCTAGAAAAGAAGGCTACTGGGTGTATGAGTTCTTTTACGCCTTTTCTTTGCAACAGGACTGCTCCCACTGCATTCTTGGACGCATCTACCTCCAAAATGCATGGCAGGGATGCATCCGGGTGACTTAAAATGGGGGCTGCCGTGAACAATTTCTTCAGGGTCTCGAAAGCAACCTGCGCCTCTGGTGTCCAATGAAAACGTACCCCCAGTTTTGTAAGTTGGGTGATGGGAGATACCAGGCCTGAGAAATTCTTGATGAACTTTCGATAAAAGTTTGCAAAGCCAATAAATTGCTGAATACCTTTCTTATCTGCAGGTACTGGCCATTCCAGAATAGCGGAGATCTTCTGGGGATCCATGGCAATCTCTGTGGTGGAAATAATTAGCCCCAGGAACTGGATGTTGTGTTGTTCGAAGCTGCACTTCTCTGCCTTGGCATAAAGCCCGTGCTGGCGAAGTCGCTCCAGTACGCTCCTGACGTAACCTCGATGTGCCTCCAAGGATGGAGAAAAAAATCAGAATATCGTCAAGATAGACCACAACAAAGATGTCAAGATAATCTTTGAAAATATAATTTATAAAATGCTGAAAGGTGGCCGGTGCATTGCACAACCCGAATGGCATAACCAGGTACTCAAAGTGCCCAAAAAGCTGTTTTCCACTCATCCCCTTCGCATATACGGACCAAGTTATAGGCACCCCTGAGGTCCAACTTGGTAAAAATATTTGCTGCCTTCAATCTCTGGAACAATTCGGGGACTAGGGGAAGAGGATAGCGGTTTGTAACTGTAATTTTGTTTAGCTCCCGATAGTCAAACCAGGGTCTCAGGGACTTGTCTTTCTTTTCGACGAAAAAGATTATGGCTCCAGCTGGTGACGTGGATGGGCGAATGAATCCCTTTTGGAGGCTCTCGTCTATGTATTACTTCAATGCCCCCAACTCCCGCTCTGACAAGGGAAAAATTCAGCTGAAAGGGATCTCAGACCCTGGAAGAAGATCAACTGGACAGTCATATGCCCGATGCGGGGGAAGGATGTCTGCTCCCCGTGGGCTAAATACGTCAAGGTAGGAATGGTAGGCCAAAGGAATTGTTTGAGCTAACTCTTCGTCTGTGTTCACATAGCACCGGGACTGAGTGGCTACTGGTGTCCTGAGGCAACAGTGCTCTCGGCAATAAGATGAACTGAACTGATCCAGTCTTCCAGTTAATGTGAGGGTCATGGGCTCGTAACCAAGGAAGCCCCAAGATAACTGGGAAGAGTGGGGATGTGATGGTGTCCAAGCGGAGGAGTTCCTGATGATGACCAGCCACTTTAGTGCAGATCGGAGGGGTCTCTCAGTCTACCAACCCAGATTTTATTCAAGACCTGTCAGCCAGGAAGATATTCAAGCTTTGTTCTTTAGTCTGTAGGGGAATCTGCTGATGAGCTGCAAAGCCAATATCTATAAAGCAACTGCAGGCCCCCGAATAAAAAATGGCCATTACTGGAACGGTTCTTCTGGGGAGCTGGAAAGAGATAGGCGCAGGTAGGTGAGTTGCATTATTCAGGCAGGTAGGAGACACAGCAGAAGCGACAGAGGCACACTTACCCATTTTCTCAGGGCAAGAGCATACTATATGACCAGCCACTCCACAGTAGGCATAAGTTGTTCAACCGACACCTCTGGCATTCTTCAAAAGTTAGAGAGGGCCGCATCAGTCCGATTTGCATAGGATCAGGTCCATCAGCCGGCTCTGGACTTTGATTACCAAGTGGGGAATTAGGCTGGAGTGGGACCCAAGGTAGCACCCATGTCGGTCTGGAACTAGGATTGGCCCTTTCTTGCCTACGTTCCCACATCGTCGATTTGAATGGCCAAGGTGATCAAATCTTCCAGAGAGTCGGGTACGCCCACTCTGGCTACCTCATCCTTAAGTAGGTCGGACAGGCCTAAACGAAAATGGTGATGCAGGGCAGCGTCCTTCCACTGGGTGTCCCCACTCCAGCGCCTGAATTCGGACACATAATCCTCTACTGCCCGGCGGCCTTGTTGCAGGGTATGCAGAGCCGCCTCAGCAGAAGTGGCTCGTTGCGGATCGTCATTTAATTGCACCATCGCCTTAAAAAATGAGGAGACTGAGTCTAGGTGCGAATGGCGATCTTCCATCAGATGGTGGGCCCAGCCTTGGGGTTCCCCCTGCAGTAAGGATATGACGAACCCCACCTTTACAGATTCCGAAGAAAAAGTCCATGGCTGGAGGTAAAAATATAAGACAGGAATTCTGAAAGGCCCAGAACTTCCCTCGTTCCCCATTGAAACGCTCGGGCGCTGGCACTCGAGGTACTGGTGGGGGAAAGTTGAACACTGCTCCAGTGAAAGGTTCTGCGGGGCCCCTGGCCGGAGGCGGATTAACCAGAGCTGGTGGCGTGGTTGCCGGCATGGTTAAGGTCTGAATACGTCCCTCCAGATGCGTGTCCCTCTCTTGAAGCGTTTTGACCGCTTGGGTGAGTGCTGCCAGGTGTTGGCTTATCTCATCCAAGGGGGAGTCTGTCAAGAGCCGGATGGCGGTAGCCTCTAGCGACCCACAGGCCGGAATTCCTCAGGGCACGGAGTCTAAGCCTCAGTCTGCTGTTTCACCAGAGCCCCTGATGGTGGGGATGGACTTGAAGCAGCCTGAGACCAGGTCGCGACCCCCGAGTACAACCAGCTGTGGAAGAGGTAGTTGCAATTTAGGTATGCACAGGGCTGGTTTAAATAGTGCGCCCTGTGCTACCATTGGTGCCAGGTGCGCATCCATGATCACGAGTGTACGGCCACCGCTGTTGCTGCGGTTGCCTATGCCCTAGTGCTCACTGGCTAATGCTCATTGGCGTTCTGCGCATGCGCAGACCCATGCGCCGCCGCGATCCCTGAGAGTCAGACCACCTGATGTCATCATGACTAACATATCCAAAACCTTCAGCTTTGCACCAATCCTTTCACCAAACATTGGACTCTGCTATACCAAGTACTTCCTCTTGTTGTCCATTATGGACAGGTAATTCCTCTGAAAATATAACTGTACACCCTAACTGTTGAAGATCCTGTCCCAAATACTGAAATTCCTGTACAAAACACACATCATTCTGGGACAATCATTTGTGCCAAGGTACATGACAACATCAACGTTGCACTCTTCACTAGCTTTTTTGACAACTTTTAAAATACTCCTTTTATCTCTTCTAACAGTAGCACCAGGTAGACATCTAACTTCCTTTGACACTTCAGTATGATTTCCTAAATAAACACCTCTTACAACTGAATCACCAACAAGACGATGGCTTCTCCTTTTAGGAGCCTTTTCCACAACACTTGCCTGGAATGGAACCTCAGACAAAACAGTTTCTTTTGGCAAAGCACTTTTTTTTCTCAGGGTCCTACTTCCTATCTCACAATCCACTAAGTTTGCAACCTTTGGATCTGCTTCTAGCTCAGAGAACCTGACCCAACAGTTGTCCACACCGCCCTTCTCCTGCGCAGTCTTTGAGGAAGAGGTGGCTTTTTGCAGGGCAGCTCAACAGAACAAATTGGCTAAGATGG